ACGACCCCACATGTCTACGTCACGATGTGGGAAGATTTGCATAACGCCGCTCAAATGTTCACGCAAAGAAATAAGGCGTAACTTTTATTCTCGCTGTAGTATTGTTGCTGAATTGACATTTTGAGCTTCGATGTGTATCATTCAGCACAATTCCGCCTTTTTCACTAACTGCTAATTATTAACTGCTAAAAGTTAATTGATAACTAATTGTGATTGGATGGTAATTTTGTTCTAAGACGAGCTTGGCTACCTTCAACACTGCCTAGATGGAATACGGGACAAAAAATTACTTTTTCTAAAGAAAAATAGAGCTGAAATATGGGACTGTCCAGGGAAAAACAGGACATCTGGTCACCTTAGAACTGCTCCATATTCATGATTATGGGTGGAGCTACAGTATGACATCACTGCAGGTGAGTTCATGAATTCAGTGAAGGTGAAACAAAAAACAGACGAGCTGGAAGCTTCGTCAAACAAGAACCTCTTTATTCAGACACTGACTTTAATCATCACTCATCTAATATTCACTCACAGGTAAGTGATGGAAATGTAAAAGCTTTTTCAGTTTTTATTTCTGAAATAGTATCTGAATATTATTAAGTATGTCATTCATTTAAAGTCAAGTTTTATATCTGCTGTCATGTCACACAACAGAAACATAAAGTACTTGAACTGCAGACATATGTCCAAAAACAAGTAAATAAGCATAATTACAAATAGTAGTCTGCTGTAATTATACATTAAATTAAAGAATGACCATGATACTGCTACAATTAGAGACAAAAAATAATAATAATTTGCTACTAATGTCACCCTTTCTAGCTGTGATATGTGTTGTATACAGAAATAACATTATTTTATGATCTGTTTGATGTAAAGACAGATGTCTCCAGAAGACACTATTTTCAGTACTTTGTTTTTGTCTTCGACAGGACAGAAATGACTATTAAGTTCTTTGATTTTGGTATAAACAGTGGTTACTAGTTTAACTTATAATTACTTTTATTAGAAGGCTTACTGTATTATTTCCACTCCAAACATAAAATGAACTTATTTTGTTAACTTTAGGTTTTTGCATGAGATAAAACATGGCCATGGACATGATCGTGAAAATACTTTAATTTCAGCTTTTTGAAGAGGAAATAGAAAAGTTAACCAACAAGTTGAACTAGTTTAACAGAGTGATTTTATACGAATTTTAAGAATTTACGTTCTGAATTACAGTCATACCTGTGTAGCGTATAGTTGTTAAAGAACTTGGAAAGCACCACAAACAGTGCACACAGTCCCATAGTATTGCTTTTAATTACTTTAGCAACATGTAAGGGACATGATGTAACTATCCATGTACAAACTATAAAAATGTGTCCACAGGGTTGGACTGGGCACAGAAGTTTGCAGGTACTGTGTGCTTGACACCATTTTCTTCAATACACTAACAATACAATGTTATATTGTTATAATCTATATCAGGGTTCCTCAAATCTTGCCCTGGAGGGCCAATGCGCTGCAGAGTTTAGCTCCAACCCTGATCAAACTCAGCTACCTGGGATTTTCTAATGATCCTGAAGACATGGATTAGCATGCTCAGGTGTGTTTTATTAGGGTTAAAGCTAAACTCTGCAGGAAAGTGGATCTCGTGGGCCAGATTTGAGGATCCCTGATCTGTTATACATAAAAAAAGAAACATCTGTCCTGAAGTTGATTGATAATGTCTAATCTCTCATCTAGTGGATGTGACTCTGGATCCTGATTCAGCGAATCCGTATCTCATCCTGTCTGATGATGGAAAACAAGTCAGTGATGGAGACATTGAGCAGGACGTCCCAGAAAACCTAAAGAGATTTGATGAGAGTTTGTGTGTTCTGGCAAAGGAGGGATTCAGTTCAGGGAGATTTTACTATGAGGTGCAGGTGAAGGGAAAGACTGGGTGGAGTTTAGGAGTGGCCAGAGAATCCATTAAGAGGAAGGAGGACATTAGTCCGAGCCCTGAGGATGGTCTCTGGTCAATGATATTGATTGATCAGAGTCATTTTATAGCTTTTGATAGTCTATCGGTCGCTTTCTCTCACACAAAGACACATGAGAAGGTGGGAGTGTTTGTGGATTATGAGGAGGGTCTGGTCTCGTTTTATGATGTAAGCTCCAGATCTCATATCTATTCTTTCACTGGTCAGACTTTCACTGACAAACTCTATCCATATTTTATCCCAGGCCTTAATGATGAAGGTAAAAACTCAAACCCACTGATTATCTCACCAGTCAGTTCAAATTAACAATTACATTCCCCCAAAATATGAAACATGAAATCTAAAAGATTATCTATATGATGATTTATGTTGCTATATTTGAGTATGGAATAAACACAATTAAATACAACTTTCATTTTCTAAAATGGAAGCTAATTTCTTTTAAATACTGACTTTTTTAATCTTGATAAGCAGACTCCAATTTGTTATGAGTCTACGTATTTCTACTCGACAAATTTTGTTTCCCATTATGCCTAACTTAATATTTTATCCTCATCCTCAGCTTTATTTGCAACTTTTCGTATATGTCCTGATAAACTTTTACATACTATGATATGATTCAATATAAAATAGTGAAAATCTACGTAATATGCTACATTGTCTACAATTTATACGAGTTCTTTCATCATCATAAACTACACAGTGCAGAAAAGATGCAAGTAAGAGAGTCATTTTGCAGTGTAGACAGCTTCAGTGATTATAACGGGTGTTTTTGCAAAAGTGCATAACTCACTTTGCTCGCTTTATATAATTTATTCACAGTCTGAATAACCGTTTTGTTTTTTATGCTACTGAAATAACCAATGTGAAGTCTTGATTATCTGAACCATAAAAAAGCAATGAACTAATTCATAAATGGTTCTTAGTTTCTTTTGTCTGTAGCCAGTGTATGACATGCTTTTTCCCTACAAAACCTTTTCTATTCAACATTAATAATTATTATTACAATATCAAGAGCAGTAATAAACAATAATGATTTTGTCATGATATTGCAGCTCCACCCTCTAATGAGTTGCTGTTTTGAAGTTGTTGGTGACAATTTTTGTGTAAATACGTGCACTTCAGCAGCATTAAACAGTCTGTGTAAATAAATGCCATGTCAGATTCTGTTCCAGCTTTGCAGTTCAAAGATGGCTTTTGTTGACAGTACATGTGTGTTCTACGTGTTAACACTGAATTACATGTAAAATATCGCGGTTCTTGGTTTATTTTAGAATAACTACCGCATTTGAATAAAGACAAAGTAAATTGTATAACAAGTACTGCTTGTAAACTAAATTGCTTACCAAATACACACTGGAGAATGATTTAAGTTCATGAACATCTACTCACATAAAATTTATTATAGATAGACATGATAAAATATGAAGGATCTTTGTTGTTGATTTGCATCAGTTTTATATGAAAGTGCTGAATTATTATTATTTAGTGTTCATGAGCCTTCAGTCTAGCTAACATTATTTTAAGAGAACAGAGAGCATTAGAAGGCTTTACAATGAAAGTTCTCTTTCTTACGCTGGTTTGAGCACAATATGAGTGAATCTGTGCACCTGAGTGAGCTGACGGCAGTCCATCGATGCCAGGAGCTTCTGAGAGCCGGAGACGGTAGAAACAAACTTCTCCATCAGTGTAACCATCACAAGCTTCTCCACATCACTGACAGACAGAACGAGAACATAAACTTACTGGAAGATTTTCACTCTAAATACAGTTTTCACATTTAATGTAGTACAGTTCACAAATCTAAAGCACATTACCATGTAATTAAAAAGCTGTTAAACACTCAAAGTCTTACATATTCATGATCTTTCTGACGCTCTCCATTCCCAATCCCTCTGGAACGTGATCTTGACGGTCAGCTCATCAAGTGATTTTTGACAAATGTAGCTACTAATTCAGACATTTTTGGGCACAAAAGAAGTCTGTGATGGGACTGTTTAAAGGATTAGTTTACTTCCATTATGAAAATGTCCTGATCATTTATTTACTCACCCCCATTCCATCCAAGATGTTCATATCTTTCTGTCTTCAGTCACAAAGAAAAGGAGAAAAGGTTTTTGAGGAAAACATTGCAGGATTTTTCTCCAAATAATGGACTTCAATATGGACCAATGGGCTGAAGGTCCAAATTGCAGTTTCAGTGCAGCTTCAACGAGCTCTGCACGATCCCAGCCGAGGAATAAGGGTCTTATCTAGCGATTAATTGGGACGCAGCTTCAGTGTCTTTGTCTTTCTTTAGTGGTTTAATGGCGCTTTTCACTGCATGGTACGGCTCGGCTCGGCTCAGTTTGCGCTTGCACTGTAGTTTAGTACCGCATTGGAGTGGGCAGGATTATAGACATGTCGTTATAGTTCTTGCTATTTAATTCCATACGAAAGGTGAATTTATCATCCATTTTTATTTTAATAAAAGGCAGATATTGCGTTATTCACACTCACGTGCTGTGTTGCTAATAAACATGTTATAATTTCAGTTCAGTTGCCTTTATATAAAAATAAATATGAACAAGACACTCAAAGTGCTTGCTATTTAATTCCATACGAAAGGCGTATTTATCATTAATTTTCACTTTACAAACATGTATTTTTATAGAAATATGACAACAATAACATATCTCACACAGAGATCGCACTGTCATAGTGTTTGGGAACATTCATGCATAATTGAAATACATAATCACATGGAACCAGATAAAACATTTTTATTTTTATTTTTTCTTAAGTACAAAATCTGAATACAACAAGCTGGCATTAATTAGTATACAAAAAAGATTCTGGTATGGAAGGCTCAACACAATAGAATCATAATAAGCTCCAAACAAATCATGTAACAAAACATTCCAAGAAACATAAAATATAAAATAAAAATAAATTAAATAATAAGAAAAATACATAATTACAACAAATTACATAATATAAACAAATGAAGTAGTTTTACTGCTTTTGGGTTTTTCATTTTACTAAGGGCATCTGAGAAGTATTTTAGATCAATTTTAAATACAATAAACAAAGGAGGGGATTTAAAATATCTACATGTATGTATAAAGTATTTTGCTAATAATATAATATTATTAATCAAATCGTACAAAACAGAGTGCTCTTTGCTTATTCCGTACATTACATCTTGTAAGGTTAGAGTGAAACCATCAGCAATCACATCCTTCTCTACCATCCAGTCCTGCAATGCTTTCCAAAAAGACTGCCACAAACAACATGCAAAAAACACATGTTCTGTATCTTCAACTAAATATTTGCATACATAACATGGCTCATTTTCAAAATTAAAATTTGAATGTAGAAATGTATTGGAGGGATATATCTCATTTAATATTTTAAATTGCATTTATTTTACCTTGGGGAGAATAGGAAATTTTAGATAAGCTGTTGTAAAATATTTAACAGTGTTTTTATCAAGCGTATGATCTAATTTATTTATTAATATTTGACAAGGGTAGCACGGCTGGATGATATATTGTCTCATATATATTTGTGAGTGCTGTAACGGGGCTGACGAGACGCGAGACGTGTGGATCCATCTGCAAGCTTTTATTAAAGAGACGTGGTAAACAGGTAGGGTCAAACAATGGCAATCCTAGGGCTAGCGTAGGTCACTGATCAGCTGACAGAATCACAGGGGCGAGACGAGAGGGAAAAATCCAGGAAAACAGGCAAAGATCAGATACAGCAGAAACAGGCAAGGGAAAACAAGGAAAACACGGAGACTCTGAAAGGGGTACAGGCTAAACAATACTCAGCAGAGAAAGGTGGTTAGAGTGGGTGTTATATAGTGAGTGAGGTGATTAGAAACAGCTGTGTGCAATGAGTGCAATCAGTGCAGTGTGCAAATCGTGCAAAGAATGATGGGATATGTAGTCCGGGGTGCTATGCAACAGTTTGTGTTGTGCGAGAGTCAATGTAATGGAAAGGGTGACCTCTGGTGGTGAATAAACGGAAGTCCATGGACCGAATTTGTGACAAGTACAGAGTTTGTTTTCTATCTCAATATCACCAACATATAATACAGGAAGGACTGCAGTAATTTTTGTGTAGGAAAGAGAACATCTCATTAACATTTTTACACCTGAGTGTATTGCATTAATAACAGTAAAGAATTGCTTTGGATGACAGGCAAATCCATGTTTTAAAGTAAATGCACTGTAATTTAACATATTACCAGTCTCATCCATTAGATCCAACACTGACCAAATATTTAAATTTACCCAGTCCTCATAAAACAGGGATTTGTTTCTGTGAAGAATATATTTGTTATTCCATATAGGAGTATTGTGGGGTGTAACATTGTGTGTGTGTGTGTGCCAATTTCCAGCATAATAAGACTTGTTGGTGGAATGCTGATAGCTTCACTGGAAGTTTGGATAAATCAAAGTCACATTTGAGAAGGAAGCGGATACCACCCAATTTACGAAACAAAGCTGAAAGCACTGCATACCAAAAGCTCTCAGTATTACCTAAAAACATTTGAAGCCACTTAAGTTTTAACAAAGTATTCATACTCTCAAATTCAATTACATTCAGACCACCTTCTTCGTACCCTTTGATAATATCAGATTTTCTAATATAATGAGTTTTGTGCCTCCAAATAAAGTCATACATTTTTTGATTACTTGTTTTTATAATAACAGAAGAGGGAGCCAAAAGTTCACATTTGTTTAGATTTAGTTGAAGGCCTGAAGCTTTACAAAAGGAATTGATTAGAGAGATAGCCAGAGGAATTTGCTCTTTGTTTTGTAAAAAATAATGTTGTATCATCTGCTAGCTGACTGATTGCTAAGGTTTTCCCAAATACATTTAATTTCTTCACAGATGAATCATGACTAACCAGAGTGGACAGCATATCTACAGCTAAAATAAATAAAAGAGGGGACAGTGGGCATCCCTGCCTTATTCCACGGCCAATCTGAAATCTTTGTGTAGTACCAAACGGGAGAGAAACGGAACTATTCATGTCTCTGTGAATCATTTTTATAACACTAATAAACTGTTCACCAAAATTGAAAAGTTCTAAAGATCTAAAAAAGAAAAGCGTGCTCCATCATATCAAAGGCCTTTTTGAAATCTAAAAATAAAATTAATCCATCATCCTCAATCAAGTGACTGTACTCAACCAAATCCATGACCAACCTTATATTATTAGGAATAGATCTTCCTTTAAGAAAGCCTGATTGTGATTCGTTAATTAAATTATTAATTCCCATTTTTAGTCTATTAACATATATATGTGTGAAAATTTTATAATCATTATTAACCAATGTGATTGGACGAAAATGATCCATATATCTCATATCTTTATCTGGTTTAAGGATTAATGTAATCAGACCCTGATTCATGGTGGGGCCAAAAGAGCAGTCTTCAATGGATTCAACAAAAGCATTAAACAATAATAGTCTGATATCATTCCAAAAGAATTTATAAAAATTAGCTGTGAGGCCATCGGGGCCAGGAGATTTGTTTAACTTAAGGTTTTGAACCGCTGAGGCAAGTTCTTCAATAAGCAAGTCAGCATCACAACAATCTCTCCAATCATTGTCAATGTGGGGAATAAAAGGTATTATTTTACCAAAGAAATCATTACACTCTAATGGGGAGAAGTTGGAAGAATAAAAGTCACTGTAGAATTGATAGATTTTCTTATTTATTAGAGTAGGATCTGTGCATTAAGCACCATTATTTAAATTTGAGGAACTCCCATCTGGCTTTATTAGAATTAAAGTTACTACTGTTCTTAATTTCCAGAATTAAATCTTTAACTTTATTACAAAATCTCTCATTATTAAGTAAATCAGAATTAAATTTCCAATATCCCTTAATCCTTGAAGTATTGCGATTTGGTTTGAATAATAGTGAAATAACACAGTGGTCTGTCAAAGGTGCTGCCGAAATACTGCAGTCTTTAACAAATAACAGTAGGTTTTCTGAAATAAGCCAATAATCAACTCTTGATTTGCTGGAGGCATTGGGTCATAACCAAGAGAACTGCCTGAGATAAGGATTGAGATATCTCCAGACATCTATCAGTTTAAGACTAGTGCAAAAGTGGGAGACCAAAGAATTTTGTCGAGAAGTAATGCTTTTTTGCGATATTGACAAAAAATTATATCTCGATATTTTATGGGATTTTATCGATAATGATAATTAGACGATATTTTGCTGAGTGTGTTATTGTGCTGGTACCTTAAGGACTGCTGAAGACAGCTGACTCCTAATGTTTTTAATATTCTTCATATTCTGTGTGGTGGTC